GAGCTGGATGCTATTCTGGAAAGGTACGAAGAAGCGGCCAAGAACGAGGACCATTATCTGCTGTACACGCAGTTTCCAAATGGATCATACCAAATTGGATGCGGTCTAAGCCCAGCGAGATCATTTACTCCTGCTGTAATTGTGTGGAACTCATCACGGTTGAAACTATCTTTCAGTTCCTATGAGTGGGAACAATTAATCACCCAGCTCAATGTGGTAACGGTGAAGGAGACGGAGGAGCAGGAGGAGGAGAAGAACCTTCCTGACAAGTATGATCCTGTCGAAATCGAGTGCGGTGACTATTGCAGAATTCGACGACTAATCTATGATAGTACGAAAATTCTCGAAATAACCAAGCACAACATTAGTTTCTACCTCTCAGAAATGGACGTGAACGCTCTTTTAGAAGCAAATAATGAACTTTTAGTACCGTATATGTCTATGCTAGAAACTGTTGAATTTCCAAGCTATTATTATAATGCGCTTAAGATTGTTCGAGCTAGTTTTAATGATCAAAATTATACGTTTTCAGATGCTATTCAAAAATTGTATACATTTAAGCTCGTAGGCTGTACTTTACAACATATAGCGTTAGGACAACATATATTTTTCTATAGACATAGGATCGCTAATGATCTTGAACGATTTTAATAAAGTTTTTGTAAAAATGCATATCTGTCGTTTCATTATGATATACGTCACGTAACGTGACACGTGACGTGACGTGACACGTGACGCACGTGACGTGACACGTGACGCACGTGACGTGACACGTGACGCACGTGACGTGACACGTGACGCACGTGACGTGATACGTGACGCACGTGACGTGATACGTGACGCACGTGACGTGCACACTTTGTTCAAAAATACCAAAAAGATGTCTTGATAGCCCGAAGAACCGCGCCACAACATCAGAAGTAATGTTAGTATTATGTGTGTGCGTGTTTTTTTTTTGTTTTTGAACACGCTAAGTTTTGAACTCCAACCACGCACTAACATTGCTTCTGATGTTGCACACCTCTGACGACTCAAGCTATCAGGACATCTTGTTGTTGTTGTTGTGAACTCTTCTTACTAGAAAAATCTAACGAAATCAATAAAACATTTTTTTATAAATATTCATTTATTAAATCTAATTACATACATGTTTGAAAAAATATATATATATATATATAAATGTTAGTACTACATACATGTTTGAAAAAAAATATATATATATATATAAATGTTAGTACAATAGATAGAGAGAAACTGGAGGACGAATGAACGCTTTTTATATATTTTTTTTGTAATTTGTTTGCTGTGATGTTTTTTTTTTAAAACTCAATATCGCTGTCTACATCAGATTCATCAAATCGGATTCGGATGTTATTTCTAGACCTATCATGTAAGGCATCTCTGCAAGATTCCTGGTCTTTTAGTTCAAACACTACGCTTTTAAAGCAGCTGTGACACCAATTATACTTTTTTTTGGTATACGTTCAAAATAATGTCATGTGCATCGTGAACCTCGTGAGAATGGTCATAGCAGGCAAATAAACGTTTATTTAAAGTTTTATGTATTTCTTTAAATTTAGATAAACAATTTTTACATACGTGTAGGTAATATTGGTCCAGCCAATATCCACTTGTCCATAGACAGTAACTAGAATAATCTTCAAAAACATAACCCCAATCTGATTTTCCTAATATAGTGTGAATTAAATTTGGATCTATTTCTTTGTGACATCTAATAAAGTTAATTCCTGTATATGAAGAATCAAGATCATTTTTGGCTTCTTTAATCATAGCGTGCCATTTATATAAAGGAAATTGTTTCACAATTTCCGTAGTTAATTTCCATGGTAGTGGAGACTGCTCCATGAATTCTACTGCTGATGATGTTATTGATTCGCAAATTTTTCTAACAGCTAACTCTGATAATGTTGGGGCATTCATCTATAACAAAAAAAAAACGCTATTATAAGATACTGTAATGCCCCCACGGAAGTGTGTCAAAACTGTTCGGAATTAAATAACGTTTGTCGTCATACGGACTTAAACTAATTTTTGACTGTTCAACAGAATATACGTTGTGTGCATACGACCTGATACAGCGTTGTGTAGCTGTTTTTTCCTTAAATTCTTTCAAACATTCAACATAATCCTCAAATGCAATTTTATTTTTAACAACATTGTACTTAACCCCTTTAGATTTTTAACCACCTTCCCACCCTGCACCTTGTAACTATACATTTTGCTTCGAAGTCCAACAAAATGTGTCATAATTTTACCGTTATTTTCATCTTTCATTAGACCCGGCACCTTTTTGTTCTTACGCAGTATTTTATATATGTTATTTTCAGGATAATCCGAAGTATCAAATTTACTGGAATCAGCTTTAATGATCTCCTCATATGCATCCTCACATTGCAATTCGTAGATAAAACTGTCTGTGTCCATGTACATGAGCTTACACCTTTCTGCACCCATTTTTGGTAGCATATAGGTGTAATGAAAATCGTACATGACTAGTTTCGATAGGTCTAGAATTGCCTGCCCTACATACAGAGGTTTGTTAAACGTTATTTCAGCCTTGTTCAATTCGATAACCACCAGATTTTCCTCTAAAATTGTGCGACTGTGGAACCGAAAACTCGAAATCAAGTTTGCTGCCCCATAGCGACCACCCCAAGATTTAACGATTTTACATACGCGGTGCTTACGTATATTTTCCATGGTCTTACCGAATACTGCATTATTCATTAATTTAAAAAGATTTTTTTCGAAATCATTCCGGGCTGCAGCTCTACATCGAGTATTCAACTCGATGTAGGGTTTCAGCCAGGCTGCTTGTTTAAATTGTAAAATTTTATGGATTTTCGTTAACTTTAACCCATTAGCTAGCATTTGTTTTAAATTTTTATAGTGAACCGTGTACTCTTTTTATCCGTAAGTGTTGCCATTAATTTCGGCAATTTTTACCCCGCCGTCGCTGGGTGGTACGCTACGTTCTGCCGCAAACGGAAAATCTTTGTGTTTATCGTGCAGTTCTTGTGGGTACGATAGATCGACTTGTAGCACGTACCCTACGTCAGAGTCGTCGGGTATTGACATCACATCAAACGATGTTACATCATCTACCCATTTGAACCCTCCGTAGGGTAAGGGTTGCTGCATAGCCTTCCCATATAAGCTATTCACATCCAGGTACATAAGGTACTTGGACGGCTTTTCAGGATCATATTCGGGCATATATTTATTGTTGGCCTCCGAAAATCGGTTGCTACACACCGAAATTCCACCTCTTATAGCATTTTCGTAAAACATCACCATATCTAGATCCTTTAGTAGTTCTAACTTACACCCAGTGTATTTGAGCATACAGTCCCACGTATATCCGGGCATTGTATAGTACCACGCAGGATCCAGACCATAGGTGGAGAAACATTTTTTACGCAATTGCTCAAAAACGTCGGCAAGAAGCAGAATATCTGTTTTTAAATATATATCAGAATACTCTCCTAACGTTTTAATGTTAAACTGTTGCCAAAACAGATTGCGCATGAGCATACTTCTCGTCACTTACACTTTCATCGTTTAATTTATTGTAAAATTTTTCAATTGGGGGCAAAGTCGTTTCATTTAATTTTTTCAACGAATCAATGTAATCGTAACAGAAAACTCCTTTCGGTGTTAATAATTTGAATTTATCTTCATCTAAA